AAAATTTCCATTAAAATAAAATTATATTTTCAAGATTAACTACATTATTTACTTTTTCATTTCCTCATTTTATTAATTGGATTTATATATATATTAGATATTTCAAATATACAATTGAATTCAATGCAAGCTTCTAATGTGATTAACGATCAAACTAAAACAAATGGTTTTATACTTAGTTCAGTTTCTCTTGGCTTTAATACATTTGCATGTTTGATATCATGCATAGTTTTTGTTATTATTATATATCATCTTTATTATAATCATGTCAAACGTGAAGATAAAATAACTGTTGTTCTTTGTAGTAATATATATTTAACAATTTTAATATATTCATCAATGTTAATATCAATGAATATTCGATCAATACTGGGTGATTTATATAATCAATCTTTTGATTCGTCGTTTTGTATTTTTTCAGGATATTTAGCTATTATATTGCTTAGTATGTTATACATGAATTTTCTAAATCAAGTAATTCGAAATAATAGCAATTAAAAAAATTCTATATTCTTTTTTGAATACTTGTAGGCATTTTATCGTCTTATTCGAATTGCTTATTCTCAAAATCGACGGTTTCAATCTGTAAAATTATATATAATTTTACCAATTATACAAATAATAATAGTAACATCTATTCTTCTATGTGTTCTTATACCTTTGAATGGTGTAGCATATCTACGAAATGCTCACTTTTGTTATCCGACATTCACAAATATTCCTGGCGTTCTTTCGACAGCAGTTGTTGCTTATATAGGTCCATTTTGTTGCATATTATTTATTTATATGCATATAACAAGATTTATTCATCAACAAGGAAGTATTCAAACATTAATAATAAAACAACGACAATCTCGAGATTTACTTATTATTCGACGTATTTTAATTATTGTTAGTTTATTACTTATTCTTGGAATACCTGGAATGACTCTTATATTTATGTTTATAATAACAGGTGAAGAGCACCCATTACTTGCTCGAATTTCACTGTTTCCAATTAGCGTATCCCAAGCAGGATTGAGTGTAGCATTACTTTTTTCTATTCCACAACTGAAAAATATTGTTCTGACCTTACAACTAAAAACAAGCACAGTGACGCCTGTCACTCGAGCTGTGCAAGGCGCAGTACAAATGAAAACGGTTACTGGTACTCAATAATTCTACATTGTTTACAATTTCAATCGTGAAATTAATCTTAATTGTTTTTACGTTTTTAACATTTTTTATTTTTATGTCAGTATGTAATTGAAGTTGTTCTTGTTTATTTATGAATATGAAATTATTCTATTAATTATTATTATAGGTATTGTTTGTAGTCAAATCAATATGTTGTGATACCCACTTTTGTATTGTTTATTTTTATTTATTAATGTGTAGAAATAAATAAAGTTCCAGTATTAGTTGAACTAAGTTATTACGTGTAATGATTTTGATACAAAAAAAGAAGAAGAAATTTACAGGCTAGAATAGCACAATAATAAAAACACTGAATAATACCAGTGAATGATGATTATGTTTAATGTCACATATGTTCTTGAGTTAAAGTTTTTGGTTGTGAGTGTGGAATGATGGAATAAGGAACAGACACTCACACCCACACCCAGGATAATCGAATATATGTATTAAATGGTATTATTTAGGTATTGTGATGGATATAAATCCACAACATTTTCCCACACTACCGATGATTTGTGTCCTTTTAGCAATTGTACTCTATTCTAGTGCATTACTTCTGTCGTACTGTCATCGTTGACAAGTTGCGAAGAAATCTCAACACCCGAATGAAGAAGAATAAAAAATAGCAACGTTTTTGGTCGATATTGAACAAGAGAAACAATAAAAATCCTTTTTGCGTCCTACGATTTTCTTTTACGTTTCATCATTCGTAGAAGCAAAAGACATTTGTATTAAATAACAAATAAAAGCAATTCTTGGATATATTCAAGAACAGAAATTTCAATAAAATTGATCATCTAATAGATTTGTTGTCACTGATTTGAATATGTTTAAGATCTGCCATGAAATCTTATTTGCCAGTTATAGATCACATAACTTCATGTATACCTAAAGTCATTTTATGATATAATGCCGATAGGAATCGATTATATTATTCTCATAATACGACTTTACTTTCGTGAAGAATCCATAATCTTCAGCAATTCTTTATCAAATTCTCATTCTGCTTCATAATTACTAAATTTTCCGTTTGAATTCTCAAATTCAGTGCTCATTCGATCAAAAACATCATATCTCACATATACTATCTATCAACATGTAGAAGAAACAAATAATTTTCGTCATTTATCTGTTCAGCGCAAAAATAATTCATTATGTAGCAATGTCAAGAAGAACATGATAAATAGTCAACGAAAGATTGTGAAGATGTCACTCAATGTGTGTACTTTTTTCAGAAGTGTTAAGTGATCATGAAAATCAACATCTGGAATAGTTTTCAAAAAACAAAAAGAGTTAATACGTTGAAAATGTTAAATACAAAACATTTCCGTCAATAAATATTCTATCGTTTTTTAATGTATTTTATGCAACATTTGACGTCATCCCATAATTTTCTCTTTTTATGTTGCTATAAATAATCGAAATAAATATTATTATTGAACAGAGATTTTATATTAACACAAAATCACAACTCACATCTGTCAATAGTTTATTGAAAATTAACCTTGAAAAAGGAAATAAAATAAATTTTTCTATTGATATAGGACTTTTTTGTTTCAAATGTTATGGTATCCGTCAAGAATGTCCTTTAGAAAATGTCCTGGACGAAATGTCCTACAGTTTTGGTCCTTTAGAAAATGTCCGGTGTTATAAATGTCCTCTCTACAAAAAGTCCTTTAGAAATAGTCTTTTGACATATAGTCCTACGAGAAAATGTCCTCCATTATTAAAATGTCCTTTGGATATAAAATAAAAAACTAGTCGATAAGTAATGTGAATCATATATTTGTATTACTATGACGAGTTAGGGTGGGTATGGGTGTGGATGAGGGTGGGCGGGTGTGGGTGAGAGTGGGTGTAGATGTGGGTGAGGGTGGGTGAATGTAGGTAAGGGTGAGTGGATGTGGGTGAGGGCGTGGGTGTTGAAAGAGTAAAGTACCCACCCACACCCTTTTCTTTTCTTCTACTCATTGTATATAAAAGTAAATCCTCTATTCGACTTACTTAGAACACTATGAATTTTAGTTAAATTACAGCGTCGTCTATGTTTTAGATACAATTCATTCGAAATTCTCTTATTTAAATATAAAGGACATTTTTCAATGCCGGACCAATTCTTAGAAGACATTTTGTCCAAAGACATTTAGTTCGGGGACGTTTTCTAAAGAACAATATCTAAAGAACATTTTCTGAAAGGACCAAAACTGTAGGACATTTCGTCCAGGACATTTTCTAAAGGACATTCTTGACATGATTCAATGTTATGATATTTTAAAGTGATTATTTAAGAGAAGACTTATTTTTCATTTAACTCATGTAGAAATACATGAAAACATTTACAAAAATTGTTTTATTTCGTTTTAGATTGATGAATTAATAAAACATATCAAATCACATAAATACAAAAACAATATTCAATAAGATAATTGGTATATCTGTTTTTGAGTAATATTTAATCGGGCAATAAATAATACGAATGAGCAATAAAAATAATACAGATGAGCAATAGTCATATTTAGCGATAGAAAATTCCACTTAGCAATAATTATACTAACTGGGCAATAATTATACTGAATGACCGATAAATATAATAATTCAGCAATAATTAAACTAAGTAAACAATAATATATTAAAACTAAAAAAAATACTACATAACAAGGGCAATATGGACTTTTGTTTTGTCTTTCTTTTGTTCTATACTATATATTGTACAAATTACAGGGAAAATCCCATATATGTACATATGTGAAGAGAGCAAAGAGAAGATATATGTGAAACGAAGAGGATGATTTTAATCAATCTCTAACATGTACATATAATCTTCTTTATTTTCTTTCATCTCTTGATTTTCAACCGTTCTCATCTTTATATTTTTCGAGATTTTTCCTCCGCATTTTATGTTAATTTCCAAATTATTTTGGATTTTTCTCTCTTATTTGTTCACTATATATATTGTCACCATTTGTAAAATAAAACGGAACTTTATATTTTATCAGTGAAATCGATTTTGAGGGAGTGGGTGTACGATGAGAGTGCCTCGTGTCTCTATCAACACCCACACCCACACCCATAGTTTGGGTGTTTTCTTCATCGTTATGGCACGCCAAAAGAAAAGAAAGAAAAACATCATGGAGAGTATAAAAAATGAAATTGGCGATTATAAGCGTATTGTAAGAACAAAATTGTATTTACTTGATGAAAATATCATGATTCATTGACTTATCTAAACGAATGTAAATGGGGAAAAACCAAGCAATTCATGAGTCAGAATGAAATATGTTTTGTTGGTTGCTGTCTATTCGATGCAAATGTTACGGTTGATTGGTTTCATAAATAAATCTATGTTAGAAAAAACCAAGTTACTTTTACCAACTATAAATACGAAGCGATATCAGCTACTAAGACATTAAGCAAACTCGCATATTTTACAACTGTATCACACATTACGCAAGTAAGTTTGATTTTTAATACTAATTCGAGTGTAGTGTTAAGATTTAAGATTGAATCCAAGTGTGTTGATATATTGACGTTACTCTTCAGTAATTCTTCATTTTTCCCTCTCAAGTGTCCATTTCTATGTATATCTGTATCTCTCTCCTATATAAACGAGTGTTCCATGTCGAATAGGTATACTCTGGATATGTGAAGTAACTAAGAAATATCATTACCTAGGGTAACAGCAAACTACTCTATCGACTTTGTCATTCCGTCATTTCATCCCTTGTTTTATCGTTACAACTATACACTATGATATTCTTGTTCTGTCTGATTAAATATGAGCAATTCTGTAACTTGATATAAATATAGAGCTAATAGTTTTTTTTAATTTCGTGTGATTTCTGATGTAGAAATTGGTTTGATTCCTGCTGTGAGAATCTGCAGGAATAATCTATATATGAAAATCTTGAGGGTGGGGTGTAGGTGTGGGTATGAGGTTGGCGAAGTTGAGCATGAATGTGTACGTAAGAGGGTGCTAGAAAGATAGAGAGAAAACCCTTATACCCACACCCACACCCTCAAGCTTGGTCGCTGGGTTCATGAAGTCTCTCTTAACAGATTATATTTTTATTAAGAAATATATATCCGCCACTAGTATCTCACGATATCTCTGTGTGGATGAAAATGAAACTCAGCTGATGACTCGCTTAAGCAAGGACGAAACGCGTCTTGAGAGCTTCATTTCCTTCATAGATTATACATCAAAATAACTATTATTTCAGATAATACTTGAATAACAGTGTTATTTATGATCTAGATCTTCTTGAAATTCAAATTATTGTTATAAACCATTTGAAAAGATCCTTTAGTCAGATCGCAACTAGTCATGGTAGCTTTACACATTCACCCGTTAGGGCATCTTTCAACTTTTTTCGCCCACGTTTTAGTTGCAAGATTCTGTCTCTTTCTATAAAAATAGATGCATATTAACGTCAGTATTGTCGTTTTCCATCTAATTCGAGTTCAGCTGAAAATGGATGCAGTGTGTCGTTGTCTTATTACTGTTTCGTTTAGTCATCTTCTGTTTTTTGGCGTCGTTTTTTTAGTATTATTAGCGTGCGTAGGAATTATTGGATGATTAGATCTACATCGTTATTAAGTTTCGCGATTTATGTTTGACTCTGGGAAGATAAAATATCGGACTGATTCTGTTTTTCGTGATCAGCCGATATATTTATCGGTTGAGAACGTTGTGGATCAACTGACCGTGAAGAACTGGAGCGGCTGATTAGATTTTTTCTTTGTTTTCTATCTTTGCAGGTGTTTTCTGTCATCAATTGAAAAAAAGGCTTCTAGATTTCGTATCGTCTTCGTCTTTTGGATCATGTATGCCGTTGGATCGATCGTGGCCAGTTATACTGGAAAGAAGCTGCTCGATTACTTATGGGTGACATTCAAGAATGCAGGGTCAATTCGGATGAAAATCACGTGGCCTGCATCAAAAAGTGATGCAATAATATTAGTAGCTGAGAGTTTTGTGAAAT